ATCATATCTTTATAAAATATACATATTTTATTATTAATAGAAAACAATTTTTAATTATTTTTTTATAACATCTGTAAATAAACTTTGCATATAATTGTATACGTTAACATGTATAAAATATATTTTAATTTTTAAAACTTTGGTAAGTTTATCAAGTCTTAGTTTNCTTATAACTAAGTAGATATAAAATATAAATTATATGAATACTGTATGTTATTTAATTATGTGCTAAAAAAATAAATTTTTTAAAGTTTTTCTACCCAGTTTACTATTTTGTTGATAATTAACTTAGATGCAGTCACTACGGGTTTGTTGTTTTCTTTTCTACTTAATAAATCATAAATACCCTTAGAACCAGAGATAGAGTATGTATTTTTCAAACAATCAATGGTAATAGATGCTCGCGCTAATTTTTTTTTCATTTCTTTACTTATTATATTATTTAACGGATCTAAAGCTGGAAGTGAATTATATACATGTTTATCTGAAATCCATTTTTTTGATTTGTCTGCATAGCTTACTGCATATTTAATTAGTGTTTCATAACTTATATTAGACTTTTTAATAATTTTTTCTAGCATAGATACATCTTGTATTGCATTATGAGCATTTATGCATGAAATACTAAGCCAATTTGCTAATTCTGTAAGAGTACACTTAGTTTTGCCTTTTCGTTCAGTTTCTTTTCTAATAACTTGCAACGTATCAATAAAGCCTTCAATAACATTTGAAAACTCATCATTTAAGGAGCAAACTGAAATGGCATCAAATAATCTTGGTCCATCAAAATTTAAATTATGCNCCGCAACGTAACATTTTTTCGTCAATGAATTTAACCAGTGCAGTAAGTTTCCAATAGCAGCCCTCAGTGGTACAGAAGGAACTTTTTTTCCATATAACATTAATTCTGCTTCGCATTTTCTTAGACCATGAACTGCAGTAGCGGCTGCAGAAATTTCGTGTTTCGGATTGATATAAATATTAAACGAATGTTTACCGCATTTTGCAGCAATTTGTAAAATATCGCAATTTTTCTGAAATCCCGAAGTTTCAAGATCAACGTACACTACAGGGATATTTTCATTTATAGTACCTTCATCTTCACTAAAGCTTTCTTTATTTGACTGTACAGCTGGCTCACTTAGTAACGCACAATTACTCTTATAAGTTATACCTTCTGAAGCTTCTTTTTGGTATCGTAAAGCAGACCTATATTTTTTTAATTGCATACGTCTCATTTTAAATGCGTGACTTCTTGTTTTTATATTTCGCTGATTTTTAATAGATTGAATTTTAGAAACATATCTAGAATGATGTTTTCCAGGTGACAACGATAATTTTTTTGCAACAATCTCTGAATATGTTTCTCCTATATTTTTTTGTGCTACAACACATGCATATCGATAATCTGCTGCTGCTGTCAGACTCAAACATTTTGCTTTTGGTGCTTTACTTGCCATACTTGCATTGAGGCTTTCATTTATGTTACTTGAGACTCCCACAGAAAATTTGGTTGCATTTGATGCTAATTTATCAAAGACTTCTTTGAGTGCTTCAAATAACTGCGAATCGTTAAATCCACCCGGAACAATTTTATGGTCATAATTTTCTTTATCTTTAACGTATCCGCACCATTGTCCACATTTGTTGTGTTGGTTAAAAGCGTGATAAGGAATACATCTGATAGCTTCTGCCATGGACGCACTGTTACCTCTGTTTTGAGCCATGGCATAAGTAAAACATCTGTGAAGATAGGAAATTCCTTCTCTTGTTAGTTCTTTGTGATTTTTCTCAATGTTATACAGTTGTTTTTTGACACCCTTAGACGTGTGATTAACATCAGAAAGTTTAGCAATACAATGTGAAGCTCCAGCACGACAAGCAGCGATGGCTGAACTATCATCGTCACCAATAAGTACTCCAACTTGAACGTTTTTTAATTGCAAAATAGCACTTTCATTTACAAGTTTATTAGCAACGTGGGCCTCCATTGCCTTAGCGGAACCTTTAAAATTTAATCTGCAATCATGGTCAAATGGNGAATGTCCTACATCACACTTTTTACATTTACGATTGCACGTAGAATAATCTAATATCTGGTGACTAAAATGGCCTACAATAGAACCAAAACCATTAAGACTATCGTAATCACGGCCTGTGCCTCTCGTGCTCCATCCCATATCGTAAGAAGCCATCACGCGAACAACTGTATCAAACGTTACATGCTCTTCTTCATTTTTGGGAAACGATTCTTCAGGTGCATTCAAACATATTCTTACATTTTCAGGTCTGTTAAAAATGAATAAAAATCATTTTTATTATTCCATTGTTGTATTACATAGTTGTACAATTATATAAAAATATCAAGTACTTAAAATTATTATTGAATATACAAAATTTTAATTTTATTTACAATTTGTAGATTTTTTTAAAGTTATATCAAAGCAATTGATTATTTTTGATAACAAAATATAATTCTAGAAGTACAAAAAAATATAAATAAGAATATATAAGGCTACAT